TGCAAGCTTGCAGCAAACAAAATTGTTCGCAGGAAGAAAATTTTCTTGTTCGCAGATGATTGCCGCTAGCTGCGATCTTGCGGCAAACATTGCAGCAATTGCTGCAAGCTTGCAGCAAATTCGCAGGAACCCAACATGTTTGCAGGAACATTGCAAGAAACATACACGCCAATTTAATGTTCGCAGGAAGTTCGCAGGAAACTTTTCACAATTCAAATGTTTGCAGGAAGTTCGCAAGAACAGTAAACAAGTCAAATCAGCCAATGAAACGCAGATTGTACTGGGTCAACACAAAACTGGCCATTTTGAAATGTTGGAATTGAAGTTGTACATGTTTCAGTATTTTGGTAGGAATATACATCGATTTGAATGATTAAAAGTGCCAAACTCTGGATGTAGGTGTTCATTCTATCAATGACATCTAATTGGTAAGAAATGATTTGATTTATTTTGATATTTGAAAGAATATTTCTTAAAAGCACATTTGAGTAACTGGTGTAAATGCTAGGTCAAATCTAAATCCGTTTCTTATGAATTTCAGTCCTCTTTTTGATAGCACATATGTACACTTCTTAAAAGTATTAATGGACCCAAATCAGTTAAATGTTATCAAATTAATTAGTAAATGTGTAATCACAAAAATATTCATTAAAAATTAAATGTAAAGTTCTGTTCATATAAAAAGCTATCATGCACTTTCATTTTAAAAAGGTATGAAAACTTTGTCTAGGAACGTAAAGAGGGCCTATCATAACTTCATAAAACTGCATCATTTCAGAAACATGTGGTGGATTTTCTCTAGCCTTAACAGATTTAGGTCAGTACAAAGGCTTTCTGTGAACTTGCTGCTTGTACAAAGCAATGTGCCAAAACCATAAGGAAATTGTTTGCTGCAAGTTAGCAGCAATGTTTGCTGCAAGCTTGCTGCAATGTTTGCGGCAGGCTTGCAGCAATGTTTGCCGCAAGCTTGCAGCAATGTTTGCGGCAGGCTTGCAGCAATGTTTGCCGCAAGCTTGCAGCAAGGTTCCCTTATTTGGAAAATCCAATGTTTGCTGCAGACTTGCAGCAAACCTCATTTGCATGGTAAAATGTTTGCAGCAAGCTTGCTGCAGACTTGCCGCTAACTTGCTGCAAACACCAAGGCTCCGTATAGACTGTCATGCTTTCTTTGGCTACATTGCCGCAAGCTTGCAGCAATGTCTGCTGCAAGCTTGCAGCAATGTTTGCTGCAGACTTGCAGCAAATATTTGCAGGAAGGCAATATTTTCGGTAAGGGATCTGTTTTGTAGATGTTATACTTTTTTATTTCAATTAAATCTTTCATCATATAGGAAGCACATTCTTAGATTTGGCTTCTACAAACAATTGTCTGTGTAAATCAGATCTCATGAAATCAGCATTGAATAATTTGAGAAGAAATGTCACCAGTAGAGGCAATAAAAGTGTCAAAATAACATAAAGATTATGAGGAATAGGAGGGGTGGATCCAATGGGAGAAAACCAGAGGCCTCGTCTACTTCCATCCCTAATGTGGTGAGATGTCCAGGCTATGAAACACATCACAGAGAGAAGCTTGATCCACCCCTTGTTTAGAATGTGTCCAGTTATGAAGATAATGAAAGATATGGAAAGGGTCAAGGTTGTTGAATGGAGGAAAGGTCGTGAACTCAGTGACAATGCTGCCTGAAATACAAATTAAAATAATTATACATTTCAAAAAAAAATATTAACACTTTTCTTTATTCATTTAGAGGTGATATGAGTTGTAACTGTTGTTTTATGATGAAACATGACAAAATAATCAATATTTTCAATCAAATATACACAATCAGTATAAACATAAATTGCCTTTTATCATGCACTTCAAATTTTGGTTACATTGCACAGATTATGAAACTAAAATTGTTAACAGTAAACTGTACCGCGCTCTGATGGATATTTCTTTATCAAGTCTATGTCGAGATTAATGGGAGATATGTTTTCACAAAAATGTTCATTTTTCTCAGTAACATTCTATACAAATCATGTAAGTCTATAATTATATAATTCTTTTTGATGTTATATGTATATAGTAAAAAATGGTTATAGCAAACATGCTTAATATAAAAAATTGACACTTATAGCAAAGTGATGTTCATTATCCATGACTGTAAAATATATTGTTTACTTAAAGGATATGACAAATTACACTGATAACCAAGGAATTGTCCGCTCCTTGCACTGCATGGCTGTCCCTTAGTCCTGAGAAATGGGGAATTTCCCCATCTTCACCCATTATGATGTAATTCCCATGTTTTTTGGGGTATTCCTATCTTAACTTCTCATTGGCCGAGGAACCCCCAGAATCCCTTCTACTTTTTAAACATCCCTCTTTTCTTTCAATTCTTGAGGAAAAACTTGTACATAGTCAAATACTTTACTTAATTAGAATTGAATATAACATGTACTTACCTGGAGAGACAAGGACCTGGCGGCTATGAAATGGTCAGCATCAATCCCCATGGCAAGGAGTCCACACAACAGACATTCAGCAAATTCTTTATAGTTCTTTGCCTGAACAATGATTGCCCATGAGAAAAAGGCCACGCCCCAGTGTGTAGAACTGTCAATTAAAGCTCTTGGCAGGTTTCCATGGGTGCTTTTTACAGTGGAGGGAAGAAAGTCACCCAAAAAACAAGTGAAGAGTAGAGCTAACTCATACAGGATAACATGGCCGAACATTCAGTCTTTTTTCAATGTCTGAAAGAATCACATTTTACATAAATATAAATAGAAACTGAAATAGATCTTTATCATCTGTTTCAATTTGACAGAAAGGCATGCTAGAATAGTACTATAGATGACAGATGCATGTAAATAACTGCTAATCATAATGCTATAAATCTAGAGCAAGACAATCATTTCAAATACATGCATGTATTGTATTCCGAATGTATTATATTCCGAATGTATTATATTCCTAATCTATTCTATGACTTTTTTTGCAAAGTTATGCTTTTAAAAGTTAAACAATACTTACACGACAATAATTTGGTACACGTATAAAACACCAGCTGTGTGTGTGACAGGTGGACTGGAAGGAATTTGTTTACATCAAAATAATTTTATTGAGGTCGATCCCGATAAAATCAATAATCAGTATTTTGCGCTAGTTCTTTTAAATGCTTTGAGCTGGTTAACACTTCTTTGCCTTTTGAATCAAGTTTTCGGCATTTTTTCCGAAAATACAGTAAAACACTCATCTATGATAGTAAAACTTTAAAAATAATCTCTTAAGGAGCTGTTTTAAAAATCGAGCTCGGAAATCACTTAAATAATTTTCGTTGTGAAAGTCAACAAGAAATGAAGGAAAAACTTCATCGTGATTGTATGTAAACGTTCTAATGGGGATTGTTAAAGAGTGTGCGATGATTTGTAACATTTTTGAACAACTAACTACAAAACAAAGAGGCCTCACCATGGTTCCTAAATATGAATTTGTTTGAACCAGAAGTGTAGTTGTCACTGTCAGATTCTTTATCAACTCAACTGTCCAACACATTGATATAGGATGAGCATGCCAGAACCGTTGTCTCTACAGCTCATTGCTAGACTTGTCTGTGTTCAGAGTCTGCTTGATCTAACAGAAGGAAAGGATGTCACTAATTTCCTGAAGACGGTGTGCCACGGGTAAATTTAGTTAAAAATTGAATATTGTAATTGTTGATTTTGTTTGTTTGTATGTTGTTTAATGTCCCTCTCGAGAATTTTTCTCTCTTATGGAAACGCTACCAGTTGCCGATGGAGAGCTGTACATTTTGTCCCATGCTCCGCACTCAGGCATTGAGCAGAGAGGGCTCTTTTACGTGCCAGCACCTGTAATACAACACAGGGCCTCGGTTTATATGGTCTCAATCGAAGGACCAGTCTCCACATCCCACTGTGGGATTCGAGCTCGTGACTTTAACAAGGACGAGTCTAATCATTTATTTAAATTGCCAAATTATTGCATTTTTTCCATATTTTTTTTACTTCTGCCCTAAGGATTTCTTTTTCATTCAAGTGAATGAAAATTAATGTAAAAAGTCACCAAATTGTGAAATTTCAAAAATGTTCACCATCTAGGTTGGTCTAGGTAGTACACAGTAATAACTAAGTTTATTTTTTCGAAGCTCAATACCACTGAAATTGCAATATACGGTATAAATACATATCTTTGCAGATGAATTATCGGCGCATACTTTTTTTCGGCAAAAATAGCAATTTTTAGATTGCTAGTATGTTTCTTGGGAAGTTATGTCATCAGTTTTTAGCTCACCTGAGCCGAAGGCTCAAGTGAGCTTTTCTGATCACATTTTGTCCGTCGTCCGTCCGTCTGTCCATCTGTCTGTCCGTCTGTCCGTCTGTCTGTCTGTAAACTTTTCACATTTTCGACTTCTTCTCAAGAACCACTGGGCCAATTTTGACCAAACTTGGTACAAAGCATCCTTGGGTGAAGGGGAATTTAAATTGTTAAAATGAAGGACCAAGTTCCCTCACAAGGGGAGATAATCAAGAAAAGACAAAAATAGGAAGGGGTCATTAAAAAATCTTCTTCTCAAGAACCACTGGGCCAGAAAAGCTGAAACTTATGTGGAAGCATTGTAGGGTAGTGTAGATTCTAAATTGTTCAAATCATGACCCCCGGGGGTAGGGCGGGGCCACAATGGGGAATCAAAGTTTTACATAGAAATATATAGGAAAATTCTTTGAAAATCTTCTTCTCTAGAACCACTGGGCCAGAAAAGCTGAAACTTATGTGGAAGCATCCTGGTGTAGTGTAGATTCTAAATTGTTCAAATCATGACCCCCGGGGGTAGGGCGGGGCCACAATGGGGAATCAAAGTTTTACATAGAAATATATAGGAAAATTCTTTGAAAATCTTCTTCTCAAGAACCACTGGGCCAGAAAAGCTGAAACTTATGTGGAAGCATCCTGGGGTAGTGTAGATTCTAAATTGTTCAAATCGTGACCCCCGGGGGTAGGGCGGGGCCACAATGGGGAATCAAAGTTTTACATAGAAATATATAGGAAAATTCTTTGAAAATCTTCTTCTCAAGAACCACTGGGCCAGAAAAGCTGAAACTTATGTGGAAGCATCCTGGGGTAGTGTAGATTTTAAATTGTTCAAATCATGACCCCCGGGGGTAGGGTGGGGCCACAATGGGGAATCAAAATTTTACATAGAAATATATAGGAAAATTCTTTGAAAATCTTCTCAAGAACCACTGGGCCAGAAAAGCTGAAACTTATGTGGAAGCATCCTGGGGTAGTGTAGATTCTAAATTATTCAAATCATGACCCCCGGGGATAGGGCGGGGCCACAATGGGGAATCAAATTTTTACATAGAAATATATAGGAAAATTCTTTGAAAATCTTCTTCTCAAGAACCACTGGGCTAGAAAAGCTGAAATTTATGTGCACATCGAAGCATCCTGGGGTATTGTAGATTTCAAATTGTCTAAATCATGATCAGTGGGGTAGGGTGAGGTCGCAATATGTATTAAAAGGGGGAAGTCTGGTAAAGAACAGAATGGTCAAAGCTTCTCAGGTGAGCGATGTGGCCCATGGGCCTCTTGTTAGTATAATATCCACGGACGTCTTGAACATACAAGCAAGTCATGCGTCATTCTTCAGCGTCATGCATTGCTTACAAAATCCGAAAATGGTGACGTTGTTAGAGCCATTTCAAGGTTCTCTCTCCAATTATTGTCGTAAAATCACATTTTCAGATCAGTAGGAGTTACAAATAATGTTAATTTTGTATTAAAATTAAAATAATTTTCAAAGGTGTACTGCCACACAAATGACTGCATGAAATTAAAAAGCTGCACAAAGTGATGCGCACTCGAATTAGACTCGGCCTCGTTAAGATCAACTCTTTACTCCTTGACTCTAGAGCAGATTGCTCTAACCACTATGCGGGTGACGTTATAACTTCACAGTTGAACTTTATTTTTAAAAAAAGTGTTAGTTTGACCTCTCCCTGAAAATGGCCGGACTCAATACTTTTTGTATCCACATGATCCACAAGGACATATTTTTTTAACCATTCAGAAGTTTTCTCATTTGGCCAATACATGTATAACTAGTTTTACACATTTGCAAGATTTTTTTAATAAAAACAATCCTCTTTAGCTAAATCATCTTTTTATGCTGCACCACGAGGGACTCTAGGCATTAATTCTAAAAATCTCCAGGTTTTACTTACCTGTATAATGTTTGGATCTGTTTCTCTCTGCATGGTTTATAATGTACATCAAATTTTTTTTTCAACCAGAGGGCAACAATCTTGCATATTATGATGACCTTGCCTTGTATGTCATCTTTTTTTTTAATTGACAAAAAAGACATTGAATGATAATGCAACTATTATTAACAAGGAAGCATTGGAAACATTTCGTTTGGGGAGATCATACAAAAATTAAGACAAATATTAATTCAAATAAGTTTTTCTTTCACTTCAGTGCAGTCACAGAGGACATACTTAGTCACATGGTTAAGTTCTATCCCAGGAAGCTGACCAATGAGATGCTAGCTGGCCTGGCATCACCACACATACACCAACTCAAGTTAGCTAACTGTACACAGATCAAACCATCCAATTTCATCAAGATTTTTCCTCAGTAAGTATTTTTACTTTTATTTTCTGCTGTTACTGAATATAAATAAAACAAAAAAAATATGCTCTGAACCAAAATATATTGGGAATTTGGGAATGGGATATAATTTGATCTGTCTGTCTTCCTACCAAAAAAAAAAATGAATAAATATTAATATATAAAAAAAAAATAATAATAAAAAACCAACAAAGAAATGATTGAATGAAGGATGAATAGATAAATGATAAATGAAAAAAAAACAATCATAGTGCAACTTTGATTTCTGTTTATTTAAAATACTTAGAATAAATATTGTCTAAAAAACCATGCATTGTAATGATTATTTTTTTTATATATCAGCTGTAAGCATCTGTGTGGCCTTGACCTTAAGCAGTGCAATCAGCTGATGCTGGGGGACTTCTTTGTGCTGATGGACAGGATGGGGGTCAACCTGACCTCGATTTCTGTAGAGGAGTGTACAACAGTGGACGATGACATTGTTCATGTAAGAATGATTCATTATACCCCCTAGCTCTTATAACCGCCCTCTCCCCAACACTTGAAAAGTGGGTATACATGTATATCTTTGTTACATACTGCTTTTGTTTTGTGCACCCTCTATTTTACTTTTTTTTCAGACACATATTTTGGGTTTCCCAGAGCAAAACGTGGACACTGCCCGTCTGTCTGTAATCTCTTGTCTGTTATGCTTTGGGGTACCCATATCTTTTCTGAAACACCTCTTATACCAAGGAATGAGATTTAATTATATGTTGAATTCACAGAATCTTTCAATTGTTACATAGTGGCTTTGTTCACCTTCTATTTTACTTTTTGTTGAGATACATATGTCAGGTTTTCCAGAGCAAAACGTGGAC